CTGATACATCCCAGAATATATTTACTTTTTTTTGCATCGGGGTGACACTGAGTCCTATTTAACTTGTGAGCCACTATCACCCGCAGACCCCTTCCTGCAGTACCCCTTTGTAGGCAGTCTTTTGCAATTTGTACGCGTTCATCTATGCTTTCATAGAATAATCATAGAATAATCATAGAATAATAGGACTGGAAGGGACCTCAAGAGGTCATCGAGTCCAGCCCCCCACCCTCAAGGCAGGACCAAGGCAGCCCTCAAGGCTTTGAGCTGAGGGAGTGATTCCCGGCTCCAAAAGACGTACCCATGCTAGCTCTAATCCCGCTAGCTCACTAAAAACAGTGTCTCTGCAGCATTGCAAGTGGTGGGAGAGGCTAAGAGCCCCAATACGTACCCCTCCAAAAGGCTGGGCATGTTCTCTGGGTGGCTAGCCACTCCTGCTGCTCACCCCGCTAGAGATACTCTCTTGTAACATGCTAGCTCTGTCAGACGACAGCCCCAAGTCAAAGCATAGACATACCCTTCATGGGAAGCTTTCTCCTCTGCACCCCTCCTCTCTGCTGTCTCACCAGTTGTTTGCACAGCTGATCTGGGAAGGGCGTGCTTTCTTCCTTGCTAACACTTAGAAAAAATCCCCCGGGGTAGGCCCATCACACGCCAGACTGCAAAGCTGTCACTGCAGCATTTGGGATTGTTGCTGTGGAATCGTCTTTTGTGGGTATATCGCTTCATCGCTCTGAATTCCTGTGCTGAGCCTTTCTTGGCCATCACTTCGGATTGGACTCCTTCAGTGCTGATGGACCTCAATCATGATCTGCATCACCCTGACAGATCTGTGTGTCCACACAGCTCAGCTAATGGACCTCGTTCCTGAGGAGATGTGCTCCTAGCTGTTCCACTTGTGGGTCTTCAGACAATGCATCTCCTGGCTTGCCTAAACCATGGGTAGTGTGCTCTAGGTCGGGGGAGGGGTGATTTCCCAAGCACACTAACATGCTGCACATAGATTCATAGAACACTAGAACTGGAAGGGACCTCGAGAGGTCATCGAGTCCAGTCCCCTGCCCTCACGGCAGGACCCAGCACCGTCTAGATCATCCCTGACAGGTGTCTGTCCAACCTGCTCTTCAATATCTCCAGAGATGGAGATTCCACAGCCTCCCTGGGCAATTTATTCCAGTGTTTAACTACCCTGACAGGCAGGAAGCTTTTCCTAATGTCCAACCTAAACCTCCCTTGCTGCAGTTTAAGCCCATTGCTTCTTGTCCTGTCCTCAGAGGCCAAAGAGAACAATTTTATCCCTCCTCCTTGTGACACCCTTCTAGATACTTGAAAACCGCTATCTTGTCCCCTCTTAGTCTTCTCTTTTTCCAGACTAAACAAAGCCAATTCTTTCAGTTTTCCCTCATAAATCATGTTTTCTAGACCTTTCATCATTTTTGTTGCTCTTCTCTGGATCTTCTCTAATTTTTCCACAACTTTCCTGAAATGTGGTACCCAGAACTGGACACAGTACTTCAATTGAGGCCTAATCGACACAAAGTAGAGCGGAAGAATGACTTCTCGTGTCCTGCTCACAACACTGCTGTTAATGCAGCTCAGAATCATGTATGCTATTTTTGCAACATTGTCACACTGTTGACTCATATTTAGCTTGTGGTCCACTATTGCTTGGCCTGTTTAGACCCTGTTGATATGCATTAATGTATTACTCTTCCAACCCGTACTAGGTTAAAGTCCAATCAGGAACCTTCAATGAGCACCAATGGGGTCTACTTACAAAATTCCTGATCAAATCCAGTCCTACTCTTCATGGAACTGATATCTGACTCATGCACTTAACTCCATGTTAAATGGATAATCATTATCTCAGATGGGAGCTAGCTAAGGCAACTGTGCATCCCTGAAACCAGGAACGTCTCTGGGCATGGGGCTCAGAGACATGTCCCAGTTGCTGTAAACCCCGGCAGACTGGCATTAAATGGAGCCTTCACACCCTGAAAACTGAACCATTGCTTGGTCTTCCACATAAGGAGGCCAGCAGCTGCAGGTGTTCTGGGTTCTCAAAGGCCAGTTCTATCTGCTGTGGCAGTAATGGGCCTCCTGTGGGCTGGAATTGCCCAATGTGAGGTGGCGGGGTGTGGTGCCATCCCAGCAAACAAGTATGTATGCAGCTTCGTACTTGGCACTACCCCTCCAGCGTGCCTTGGAGACACATAAAAGGGGACAGACAGTTGACCGTGAGGGATCGCTGCAATACAAACTCAGTATTAATGTACAATCCAAACATACTAGACAGGCATGACGGCCAAGCGGCCCTCCGGCCCTGATGCCCAAACTCGGTCCATTTCTGGTTGTCATTGCCAGAGGTGACACCAGGTTTTGCCATCTGAAAGTGGCCTTTTGAGGGAGGGAGAAAATAGGCCGTTGGACACGCGTGGAAAAGGCTAAAAGCGACGGCTATGTGGACATGCTCAGGCTGAGAGTAACGGAGCACCGGGGACACGCCCCTTGCTGGACTTTTGGCCCTGCACGTGTGGATGAGCGCAGGTCATGGCTGCAGCAAGGGTGAGGTGAAAAGGGTGGGAAGGGTGACTCTAGCATTCCCCGTTCATTGGGCAGTCACTCGAATGGAAGGGGAGGAGCCTTTATGTCACTTCGGGGCTGCTGGAGACTCTTGAGAGCAGTTGAGACCTTGGAGAAGGTTCTCCAAGATCCAGCTCCGCTGGCAGCCGGAGGTAGCCATTGCTGCTCATGCAGACCTTGTCTGGTGAACCAGAGCAGTGAATGGCATAGGTGGTGTCTGACCATGAGAGGAACGAATGCTAATGACTTTGTCAGCGTGTGAGAACATCGGTGCAGGCCTGGCCTGTCAGTGCCCTATCGATAGTGCCTGGACATGAGGCTCTGACCGCACAGTTCCTCTTGTGATAACACCCTGAGGTTTCTGATTTAAGCTGTCAGGAACCACCATCCGAGTGTCACTGAGGGGCAGCAAGGGGCGGGGAGATGTCTGTTAGTGACTAACCTGAGGCCCTCATGTTCATTCCACTCATAAGCCAGGTCAGGCGTGAGTTCCAGCCTCCAAAGGGAAGAAGGTCGGGGCTTTAACCTGCTGTATCATCGAGGTCCTGTTAGTGCCGTGCTTAGTGCAGGAAGCTCTCGAAGCTGGGGGGTAGAGGGCGAATATTTGCTGCAAATCAAGAGTGTGGGGGGGAGGGGATTTCTCTTTGGATAACCATGCGACTGCTGAAAATCTTCGCAGTTACACGCCGCGGGCTGTGAAATATAAAGTTTATACTACAGAGCCCATGGTGCAGCCGGCTCTCTGGGAGCAGACCAGCTGGTCCCGCTATCAGGGAGCCAAATACACTGTAGGCTCTGTAGTATATGCTTTATATTGGCCAGCCTGCAGTGCAGGGTGGCAGCCCGCTCCCTGGGCGCTGGTGCACGCGGGGAAGCGGCTT